GAGCACCACACCCCAGAGTCAGACATGACTGGACTTAATGTCAGGGGACTACCTTTACCTTTACCTATTGTAATATATTATAATTATCATGAGCATCTATGGGTGCATCTGTACTGTAGAAATAATGGAGTTTGACACCACTTTAGCTGCCATGGCTCCATGCTATTGAATCCTGAGAGTTGTCCTTTGGAGATGCACAAGCACTATTTGGCAGGGAAGGCTAAAAACCTTGTAAAGCTACAATTCACAAGATTGCATAGCATTGAGACATGGCACTTAAACAGATGTCAGACTCTCTTTAAGTCTACAGCACAGATGCAACACATGTTATTTCTGATCTGTGACAACCCTGAGCGACCAAGCTCAGCAAGCCACACTCTCTCAGCCCAACTGGAAGGCCAGGGCAGTCTTCCTCTGGATGAATACTGCCAAGAAAACCTCAGACTGTCATAAATTGGAATCAGCTCGAAGATATCCAACAACAGCAGTCTGAACCTCAACAGCCTGTCCAAAAATAGAGGTCTCCGAGTTCAAGCTACTGTTGCTTGCAAGAGAGTCATGGACTCGTAAAACAAAATAGCTGCACGACTGTTCAGACCCAAGGAACTCATAAACTTTCTTGGAAGTTCAGGATTGATTTAGCATCCCTTTCTCCATTCCATCTCATTTGGGGCAGCTTTTTCCACTGCTTTTTGCTGGCTGGCTGTCCGTCTATCCGTCCACCCGTCCACCCGTCCACCCGTCCATCCATCCATCTATCCATCCATCCATCCATCCAGCCATCCATCCATCCATCCATCTATCTATCCATCTATCCATCCATCTATCCATCTATCCATCTATCCATCTATCCATCTATCCATCCATCCATCCATCCATCCATCCATCCATCCATCCATCCATCCATCTATCTATCTATCCATCCATCTATCTATCTACCATTGGATTCCAGAAACCAACATCTCTGCATATCTGGCTTAACCACAGAAGAGAAAACTGAAAGGCGACAGGACAACCCAAAGGGACACTCAAGTACAGGAGTTTTGGACTTCAGTTCCCAGAAGTCCCAGACACTTAGCCAATGATCAAGGGTCTGGAGAACAAGCCCTATGAGGAGCGGCTTAAGGAGCTGGGCATGTTTAGCCTGAAGAAGAGAAGGCTGAGAGGAGATATGATAGCCATGTATAAATATGTGAGAGGAAGTCACAGGGAGGAGGGAAAGACTGTTATCAGGAGAAAGGATTGTCATATAGAGGATGGGCAAACTTGTTTTCTGCTGGCCTGAACACGAGGCTGGATGGCCATCTGCTGGGAGGGCTTTGATTGTGTCTTCCTCTGTAGTAGAAGGGTGCTTGGGGTGGTGCTTGGGGTCTCTGCCAACTCTATGTTTATTTATTTCTAGCATTTCTACCCCGTTCTTCTCAACTCAAGACGGCTTACACTTGGCAACAATTTGATGCCATTACATATAACAATTACAATAAAACAACAACTAGAACAATAAATAGAACATTAATTAAAACCATAAAAACCATAATGTCAGCCGTATCACCATTCTAGTTGAATCCACATCCAATGTGCTATCTATGTCTGTTTTCCAAAAGCTTGGTCCCAGAACCATGATTTTAATTTCTTCCTAAAAGACAGGAAGGATGAGGCCGATCTTATCTCGTTGGGAAGCGAGTTCCACAGCCGGGGGGCCACCGCCGAGAAGGCCCCGTCTCTTGTCCCTGTCAGATGCATTTGCTACGCTGGCTGGAGCGAAAGCAGGGCCTCCCCGGATGATCTTAAATTGCGAGGCGGGACGTAGAGGGAGATGCGTTCGAACAAATAAGCTGGGCCAGAACCGTATAGAGCAGTGGTTCTCAACGTTCCTAATGCCGTGACCCCTTAATACAGTTCCTCATGTTGTGGTGACCCCCAGCCATTAAATTATTTTCATTGCTACTTCATAATTGTAATTTTGCTACTGTTATGAATCGTTATGTAAATATCTGATATGCAGGATGTATTCTTATTGGAGCGTTATGGGGGGATTGATTTTGTCATTTGGGAGTTGTAGTTGCTGGGATTTATAGTTCACCTACATTCAAAGAGCATTCTGAGCTCTACCAATGATGGAATTGGACCAAACTTGGCACACAGAACTCCCATGACCAACAGAAAATACTGGAAGGGTTTGGTGGGCATTGACCTTGAGTTTGGGAGTTGTAGTTTCCTACATCCAGAGAGCACTGTGGACTCAAACAATGATGGATCTGGACTAAACTTGGCATGAATACTCAATATGCCCAAATGTGAACACTGTTGAAGTTTGGGGAAAATAGAACTTGACATTTGGGAGTTGTAGTTGCTGGGATTTATAGTTCACCTACAATCAAAGAGCATTCTGAACTCCACCAAAAATGGAATTGAACCAAACTTGGAACACATAACTCCCATGATCATCAGAAAATACAGGAAGGATTTTGTGGGCATTGACCGTGAGTTTTGGAGTTGTAATTCACCTACACCCAGAGAGCACTGTGGATTCAAACAATGATGGATCTGGATCAAACTTGGCACGAATATTCAATATGCCCAAATGTGAACACTGGTGAAGTTCGAGGAAAATAGACCTTGACATTTGGGAGTTGTAGTTGCTGGGATTTATAGTTCACCTACAACCAAAGAGCATTCAGAAGCCCACCAACGATAGAATTAGGCCAAACTTCCCACACAGAACTCCCATGACCAACAGAAAATACTGTCTGTGATGGTCTTTGGCGACCCCTCTGACACCCCCTCGCGACCCCTCCAGGGGTCCCGACCCCCAGGTTGAGAACCACTGGTATAGAGCTTTATAGGTCAGGACCAGCACTTTGAATTGAGTTCAGAAGTGGACCAGCAGCCAGTGGAGCTGACACAGCAAGCAGGTGGTATGCTCCCTGTATGTCGCTCCAATTACTAATCTGGCTGCTGCCCGTTGGACTAGTTGGAGTTTCCAAACAGTCTTCAAAGGCAGCCCCACGTAGAGTGCGTTGCAGTAATCTATTCAGGATGTAACAAGAGTGTGGACCACCATAGCCAGATCAGACTTCCCAAGGTATGGATGCAGCTGGTGCACAAGTTTGTATGATTCTGTCACAGAGGGAATTCCCCTCCGGGCCTATTATCAGAGGAACAGTCTGGAAACAACAACGTGAAACAGACGGGCCAAGCGCATGAAATCTCGTGCGCACACAGACACACCTGAGTCACAGGCGGCAGGAGAGGCATGACGGGAAATGGAATATGGGACTGGCGGCGGAGAAGGGAAACCACATGAAGAGGTTTGGTTTCAGAAGGAAATGCCGAGCAGAGCATGTCGGAAAGAAGACAGTCTTCAAAAATACTTTTGTGCTGGGTGGGTAGAAGAACCAGAAGGGGTATTCCAAGTCCCAGAATCCTTGGCCTCTGAATTGCACTGTCAGTCTGAATCTGGATGACCCTGGGGTCTGTTCCAAATCTATAGTTCTATGACTCTATAAGCCATCTTTGGCATTCGCCCCATCCCTCATTGCAACCCCGTTGACCCAAGGTAGCCGGCCCGTGTTTAACTAGCCTGTGTCATTGTTTGCTTTGGTTTGAAAATAGCCGTATTGTGAAAAGGTGGAAGTTGGCGTCAGGGTAAGCGCCACAAATCCCGAAACTGGATAAAGATCTAACTTTCAGGGAAGCTTGTTTTGCTAAAGAGGTACGACAAACAAGGCGATAGTTTTTTATGGGATGCTGCTAATCTTGCAACTGGAGATTACTCGGCTACAATGACGTCTCCGCCACTAAACCAGCTTAACATCAGACGGGCTGATGTCAAGCTCCTTCAAACCAAGTCCTTCTCTGCTCTCTCAGAGAGGAACTATACGTCATAAATATTAAGATGGTCCTCTTGTTTAGACTACAACTTCGAGAATCCTTAGCCTGAGCCCATAGGGAAGGGCATGGTTTCACCTTTCCTTTCCGCGTAAAGCAATGTTTACCAACCTTCCTAATGCTGTGACCCCTTAACAGAGGTGGCCCTAGGTAATTTTCAATGGTAAGCAAACAGTATTTTGGCACTCCCCCCCCCCCCCAACCAATCATTGATATATATTTTCTGTTCGTCGTGGGAGTTCTGTGTGCCATATTTGGTTCAATTCCATCATTGGTGGAGTTCAGAATGCTCTTTGATTGTTGGTGAACTATACATCCCAGTAACTACACTTGCCGCACTTGCTCCCTTGCCTGGCCCGCTTTGGGTCCGGAGGCGTGCCTGAAGACCCCGGCGTGTGCACCAAAAGTCACCTCTTCTCCTGACTTTCTCCTCAGCCATTGGGACCAAGAGAGAGAGAGAGAGAGAGGTGGAGATGCCCACATTTCCTGAAGGTAGGCGCAAAAACAAAGGAGGGAGCGGAGGTGGGAGATACCTCCAGCCGGAGAGGGCTCTCTCTCTCTCTCTCTCTCTCTCTTGGTCCCAATGGCTGAAGAGAAAGTCAGGAGAAGAGGCGACTGAAGACACACTGGGATCTTCAGACACACCTCTGGACCTGAAGCGGGCCAGGCGCGGTGGCTCCGCCCCTTGGCCCACCTGCGGATTGGGGAGAGGAGAGGAGGCGGGTGGAGTGCCGGGGGATCGGGAAAGGGAGCCGGTCATGGGAAGGGATCGAACACGGAGAACGATTGAGCACCGGCTCTACTCGCGCACCCGGTGGCCGGGTGGAGCAGGAACGAGAGGGGCTAGGCGAGGCTCAAGGGCCCGGCCCCTTTGGGAAGAGGATCGCCCAGCAGCGAGGCAAGAAAGCCGAGGCTCCCCCCGGACTGCTAGGGCTGTTGTGAGCTGAGGGGGTGCTCCTCAAGTGGCAGTTGAGGGGCATTTACAGAGACGCCTCTGTGCCCCTGGCAAAAAAAGTGTTCTGCGACCGCTTACTTCGTGTAATGGACGAGCCGCCCCTGCCCCTTAACACAGTTCCTCATGTTATGGTGACCCCCAACCATAACATTATTTACGTTGCTACTTCAGAACTGTAATTTTGCTAATGTTATGAATCGTCATGTAAATATCTGATATGTAGGATGTATTTCTATTCACTGGACAAAATTTGGCACAAATACCCAACACACCCAACTTTGAATACTGCTGGGGTTGTAAAGGGGGTTGATTTTGTCATTTGGGAGTTGTAGTTGATGGCATTTATAGTTCACCTACAATCAAAGAGCATTCTGAATTCCACCAATGATGGAATTGAACCAAACATGGCACACAGGAGTCCCATGATGAACAGAAAACATTAGAAGCGTTTGGTGGGCATTGACCTGGAGTTTGGGAGTTGAAGTACACCTACATCCAGAGCGCACTGTGGACTCAAATGATGGATCTGGACCAAACTTGGCACGAATATTCCATATGCCCAAATATGAACACAGATGGAGTTTGGGGAAAATAGACCTTGACATTTGGGAGTTATAGTTACTGGGATTTATACTTCACCTACAATCAAAGAGCATTCTGAACTCTGCCAATGATGGAATTGAACCAAACATGGCACACAGGAATCCCATGACCAACATAAAACACTAGAAGGGTGACCTTGAGCTTTGGAGTTGTAGTTCACCTATATCCAGAGAGCACTGTGGACTCAAACAATGATGGATCTGGACCAACTTGGCACAAATATTCCATATGCCCAAATATGAACACAGATGGAGTTTGGGGGAAATAGACCTTGACATTTGGGAGTTGTAGTTACTGGGATTTATAGTTCACCTACAATCAAAGAGCATTCTGAACCCCACCAATGATAGAATTGGGACAAACTTCCCACACAGAACCCCATAACCAACAGAAAATATTCAAGGCCATCCAGTCCAACTCCCTTCACCAGGGCAAAAAAAGTAATCAAAGCCCTCCTGACAAAGAGCCATCCAGCCATAGATATAGATGGATGTATATGATTCACACACACACAGAGATATAGTATCATAGATTTGAAAGCGACCCCTAAAGAAGGACAATTAAATGTTGCATGTTCCAGAGTAGGCAAACTAGACAATCTCCACATCAACACAGACAAAGAAACAGCAAGAAATA